ATTTACTCAAATAAAAAGAAATTATCAGCATCATATAATTGGATATTGGCTTAGTATCTTATACACATTGTATCTAGGATACAGTCAATAATATATCATAAATACTACATGTAGTCCTGAAAAGGTGCCAGACAGCGTATTCCCATAGTGCTAGAGCAAATTAACCGTTAAAATGAAGAAATTCATGTTCTGAAGGCTATTGTTCTATGTTACATCAGTTAGCATTAATTCAGTGTTCAAATTTTTTACCATATGAGGAAAAAAAGGTAAGTTTCACTTTCGGAATCAAATGCCGACTACCAGCAATATAATACTAACTACATAGGATCAACTAAAAAGTTGATACATAATCCACTAATTTCAAACTATCACTTCACTCCACACAAAAAAAAAAAAAAAAGAAAGAAGTAACTTCCAATAGTGTCCCCCACACCCCCCACCACCGGGCACCTCACACACACACACACACAGAAGGAAGGAAGTTAACCTTCCAACTAGAATGACATTTTCGCCTTGTAGAGCAACAAATAGCAATGTCGCATCAAGAACCTATTCAATTCACTGACGAGTGTAATAATTCAAAACATTGGAATGGATTAGATGGTCTGGTACTGAATCCTTATTCTTGTCAAGAATGATGCTTTTGAAATGGTGAGTATAAATATTTCTTCAATAGCTAGTACACACCATCGAAAAGAGAAAAAGAGAAAAAATAAAGACAATATTTAATTAATATAACATCAAGAATTGGTTCAGTTTATACCGAAGCTAATAACTGAGACTGCAAATTGAACTGGGCCGCCGTGGCTGCATTCGTCAGGATAGGCAAGTGACCTGTCTGGCCGATTAACGCAGACCTAGACAAATTATGAGGACCCATCTGCTGATTCTGTTGATTCTGCTGATTCTGTTGAATCGAAGCAGACCCACCAAAGTTAACTTGCCCATATAACCCTGCTTGTGCATGCTGCCTCAATACGTTCCCGTACTGCGCTTGCTGCTGCTGCTGTTGAATTTGGTTAAGGCGCGAGATGGAAGGGGATCGCTGGAGGGTTTGTGATATTTGGTAATTAGACATTGGAGTGACATTCTGGGATTGCTGTTGTTGCTGCTGCTGTACAATTTGCTGCTGCTGCTGCTGCTGCTGCTGCTGTTGTTGTTGCAGAATTTGGTGTTGCTGTTGTGGCAGAGGAGGAAGCGGAGAGGAAGAGATTTGAGACAGCTGCTGCTGTTGCTGTTGCGGCTGCTGTTGCTGCTGAACAATTTGCTGTTGCTGCTGCTGCTGCTGCTGTTGTTGTTGGGGGTCAAGCGAAGGTGAGTGAGATATGGGAGAAGGGGACGGAAGTTGCGGTGCCGCCGTTGGGTTCGATAATGAAGAATTCGGTTGTGGATTACTGCTGTTAACGTTCTGCGACATAATTGACGTCGTCTTTGTCGCCGTCGTCGGATTTGGCGTCGGTGCTGCATTCATCGGCGCTGTTAATGTTGCCAAAGACGAAGGCAGCGGTGGTCCTGTCGCCGACGACGGGTCTGCGGGGTTTGAAGATTGGAGAGGTTTCGGAGAAGAAGATGATGAAACATTCTCCGCCATTATTATTCTATTAGTGATATTTTTGGAGCGGATGTGAAGGGAGGTGTCGTCGAATTTCTAATTCATTGATGGTAGAATTTGGATTTTGAGATTTTTGCAGAGAAACAGATTGAGGAAGAGAGGAGAGGCAACAGGAAGAGAGAGGAGATCCAGTCCGTACACGTCAGCGGTATGGTCAAGAGGATTGATAGGGTGCATAGAAGTTCTATTAACAGCCGCTGGAGTCTCAAAATTTTGATTGGCTGAACTAAGGATTACATACCAATATATTTCCTCTTGTATCACTATAATAAAAATATGATATGTGGGAATTTCATAAATATATATATATATATATATAATGGTAAGTTTCCTGATAGATAAAACAATAGTTGTAATGTTCAAATCTATAATTTTTTTTTTAGAAAAAATTACAAACTGTAATAATTATATTGTATTTTTATATTAATAATAATATAAAAATTAATGATACACAAGATAGATAACTCAATTTGAGCTTATAACCTAATAAAGATCGTTAGAATTTATAATTTATATGGTTTAATTTCTTAAAAAATAAAATGTTAGTTGATACTAATGTAAAATTATAATTTAAATAATATTAATACGGAATTCGAAATCAACACATGTAATCTAAAACCTCACAATATAATATTAACATATATAAACTTAAATCTTTAAATAAATCTTTCTTACTTAACCTACGTCCAACTTGTGAATGCAAACTAAGGTAATTGAGATAAATTGAATTGATTATAATGCCATAAGAAATATTTTGATAAATTAAAATCAACTCAAAAAAAAATTAATAAAAACACCACAAGTTACTTTAATATATAAACATCAATTCGCCACTTAATAAGAAAGTTGAAAACATATCTCTAAAGAGCAATTT